TTTATTATGTATATTTTCATTAGAAAACAACCTTGAACACCCAGGAATAGTTTTCTAGTAAATGTAAGCTCATGAAGAGCACTTGGAAGTTTCCATTCTGGGTCCAGGAGAATGATGGGACAGTAACACAGTTGACATGGTCATTCCTCTCGGTCAACCCCTCCCTTGTGGCTGATTATTTCTTACATTACAGCCTTCCCTTCCCTGTGCTTCCTGCCCTAAACAAAAACTACTCCCCTCCCAACCCCACAGGTATCTCTGTAGAATCTCAAAGAGCGTATTTCTGCATGGACACACCACTGACTCATCCCTCAGTGAACATAGTGATTTCTTCCAGGCATGACTCAGGGCCCTAACAGACCTTGGAGATCCATGCAGAGACACTGCTTCCTCTCCCAGGCAGACCCTGTAGTAGTGAAAGATCAGACCGTAATGCCTGGGAGTGATTTCAAAAGGGACTCGCATGAGGAGATGCAGATTTAGCCTACTTGGGGATTCTGCCTGCTGGGGATGAAGATCCAGAGAAGTGTTCTTGCCATACCCACTAGCTACCTCCCTTCTTACTCTCAGCCTCTTGGGTAAAAGTCCCGAAGGGGTTGATGCATAGCTATGGGCTGGTTGTGCTTCTGGAATGAGGAAGATTTCCTCTCCAGGCCTGGCCTGCATTGCCTACAGAGAGCTTGTTTGTAACAGAGAGCTGATGTGTATGAGCTAAAACATGAGGGAAGTGGCCTTTTTGCTTTGCTACCATGTAAATCTGACAAAGATTCTGGTTTCCCTGTCATCAAAGCAGACCTCACTCAGTTTTACCACCACCTAAAATACAAGTGCTTTTTCCATACTGTGATTTTGGCTCAGGTACATCATTCACTCTAGTTACCCTGAGGCTAAGAAAAAACAAGTTACCCATGCCATTGTTCCACAGCTCAATAGCAGTGAAGGACATACCTGAAAGTGTTTGCTCTTCTGGATCAAGAAGCTAAACTCCGTGAAAAAGGGTTCTGCTGGCCACACCAGTCTAGAAGGATAGGAGGAAGGTTTGTGTGCCTGTTAGGAAGGAGTAGAAGGGCTGTTCACACTCCCATCTCAGACAGATGCTCTACCATGAATAACCCCTTTCCAAAGATATGGAGTAGTGAGTGGAAGAGGAGGGAGAATATAACCTCGTAAGAACACAGGTACTGAGATGAGCTGTTCAGAAAACACCAATTTTTGTCTCTGTACTTGGGAAAGATGATCAGATGGGTTAGGTAGAGATCTGTTCCTCCTTCTAGGAAAAAAGACTAAACTGAGCAGATAATATGCAGTGGAAAAACTCCCAGAGAAGTACAGCAGGCTGGATTTTAAATGAAAGCTGTCTTGCAATGAAGAGCAAGGAGCAGAGTAACTGTCATCAACTTCAACTGTGAAAGGATGAAAGAGGTGCAACTTGCAGGGGCACACTTGGCTTGTGCAAATTCTATGGTTATTGATAACAAAACACTTATAAGCTGATAGATGCTCCCATTGCCCAGCAGTGACTTGCTAACAACCTGCTAACAGCAGGTTGTCATCTTGACATAGAGGGAGGGGCACATCTCTGTCTGATGCTGGCTATCCCATCTAGGGGAAAGCTGTGGTCTCCTGTAGAAGGCTAAGTTCTAGGAAGGCTCCTTGATTGTGAGCAGACTAAATCGCTCAGATGTTATTTGAGCAAGGAGAGTATTGAATGTGATGTCCTAATTCTGTTTGGTAAAGCACATCTTGATGCATAACATAACATATAAAGGAGCATCTTTGCTTCGTACTTCTGTACTGCTACTTAATTCTTGAAGTCCTGTGTATCAGAATCCTCTTTTTATCTTTTATTTTCTTTTTTTAGATGCTTGGGAAAAAAAAAGGGGTTAGTAATAGGAAGTAAACAAGCAAGGAAAAATACTGTCAATGTGGCTTGGAAAAAAATTCTCTTTGAGTTCTTGCCCCTGTTCAGAAATCCATCTCTTCTCAAACCTGTGATGGCAGGTGTTTGTGCTTTTGCATCATTGTGCTTGCTGAGTATGGCTCAGATAAGTTTAAGGGTCTTCAGTCTGTTTCCTGCTACTGGAGTTGAATGTCTGTTTTCCACATACTTCTACATTTATTAAATGCTATACAATAATGAACATAAACCAGAGATGAGCCAGAGGTCACATGAAAGCATTTCCCTCTTCTGTCTTCCCTTTTCTTGAAGTCAAATCGTATGTCATACTTTCCACACAGCAACTCCTTAGCTCCTCTGAAGGCTTTTTCAATACAGTTAAGTGTTCTTTCAGGTTTATTTGTTGGTTTGGGTTTTTTTTTTTTCTTTGTGTTTTCAGGATAACATTTCTAAATATATATGTAAATGTACACTTATATTTTAGCTTGCAATGCCAGTTCTGTAAGAGAAAACATCATTCTTTCATCAAAGGAGAAATTTACCCACTGACCTGGAGGTAATTTGAATGATGAACTAAGATAGTTTCTGATGTTTGTGTAAACAGAACAGAAGTGTCAGGTTCTGTTCTCCTTGTATCCAGCATGAAGGATGTGAGATCAAAGACTGCCTTCAGTAACTGCAGCATGGCAGACTTGCATTATTGAGGGAAATATTCATAAAGCCATCAGCTCAGTGCTGATGTCATATGGAAGCCAATTGATGTTTTCACTGTATCTCCTTCAATGTGGAAGAAGAGGTGAAGGTCAATGTAATAAACTCCAACACTTGTTCCTCCTCTCAGAATTCAACTATGTCATTATCTACCAATGAAGTTAATTTGCCTGAATGGATACAGGAAGGATGTAGAAGACTCTAAAATGAGTCTGTGAGGAACCCTGTGTCTGTCTGCTCAAGAAGTATTCAGGGCTGGAGTTTAGGGTTGGCAAAGGAAATGAAGTATCTGTTGGCTCAGGAGCAAGAAGGAGCAGTCACAAGCAAAGTGAGAGTAGATGGAAGGTTAGAATATTCAGGAAGTAGTCACTAAGACAATGGCACTGCTGACCAAGCACTTCCCTCCATGTGCTTGACTGACATATAACAGTAAGAGGAAGGAATAGGTTTTCTGGTCATGTGTCCTCACAAGGAGATGTGCAGGGGTCCTGGTGGATAAACCACAGGTTGGAAGTGATAATGTTGCAGCCTCCTCCTATACTAAAGAGTAGCAGTACTTTGCTTAGTCAAAATAATCTTTTCTTCTCTTGAGGAAAACAAAGAGAAGGTGCTTGAAGGACTGACCACCACATGTGGGTAGGGGATCATCTTCAGAACCGGAAAAACTTTAGAATTGTCCTCCATTTACAGGCATTGGCTCTGATGGTTTACTGCTGCCAGATAAAAGGGCTTTGAGAAAGGTCAGGGACCTGGCAGACAAAAGCAGTGTTTTTCTGTCTCCCTGAGTAAAAACAGTGGACAGCCAATGCCTCTCTTGACTCAAATCTATCTTGCTGACTTGTTCGTTCCTTGGGTTATCCATCATGGTAAGGTAAGACATGGACCTCTTCTGCACCTTGCTTGGGAAACCACAACAGGGAACACACCTGACTTACTTGAAAAACAAAAAACAGTCCATCACTCCTGACATTTGAAACTGAAAGCCAAGTGTTAGGTGGGTATATGGGTTTTGCTAGCATTATGGGGGTTTTGGGGCAACCAATTAACAGCAGACACTGAGACTGGGAAAGTGAATATATCAGAGAGGACTGACTGATGGTTAGAGCTGACTGATGCAGATTCTTAATGGTCCCTGTGTTCTCTGATGACCACTGGGTTAGTGCATGTGCTTGAGTCACTGCAGGCACAGAGGAAGAGGGTCTGAACTTGGCAGTGGGTATTTACCAAGCAACTGGATGGCAAGAACAGAAAAGCTGTGAAAGCTGGAGGCCAGCACTGATGTTTCAATAGGCAAGAACAGCATTGGCAACTGACACAGAGCAAAACACCTCTGAAGAGCATAACCAGAAAAGCATTACCAGAAAGACCTGTCAAAACTGACGGAAAATCAGGGGACTAGCAGAAATCACAAGAATGAGCAGGACCACACACACGATTTCTGATGATGGCTGAACACAGTCCTCCACACTGACCACCCCCAAACTGCATTGGAGGACCACAAAGCCCAAGAACTGAGGGGTCTCCACAGTGGTAGGACCTGGAATTTTCTCCACTGGGAGAAACAGCTGCCAAACTCTGCAAGCTTTGTTTGTCAGTGGAAGCTGGTCTGACTGACTTGTAACAAAATACAGAGAACGTCTCTTCAGGAACCCAGCGTGCAAGACTAGAGGAAAGATGTGGGGGGGGGAAGAGATGCCTTTTGCAGCATAGCTCTGCCCCATCTCTTCTGTCTGTTAGAATCCCCCAATACACAATGTATTTTGCATGTCTCGGGAGCTTACTATCTTCATTTGCACCTTTCAAAGTCCTGCATAGTAGCACAGAGGGGATAGCACAAGGAGGTTGTGGGAGAGGAGAGGACTGTGCTATGGAAGGAAGAGACCCTCATCAGTATTTCTGCTATCAATACTCTGGGGAGGAAAGAAAAAGTGAATCCAAAACCCCAAACCCCACACTACATTTGCACTTGTTCTCTCAGGCTGGCAGCCTAGAAGTTCATAAACTCAGAAGTACCTTGTTCTGGAGTTAACTGTTATAAAAACAGTTTCCAGTAGTTTCCCCGAGTTTGCTTTGCTGGTGGCAGCCCTTCAGCTCCATCTGGCACATATATGGAGCTCTTGGAACAAGTTTTGACCTTTCTTTAGCCCCTCTGCCCATCAAGCCAGCTAATGACATGCTTTGTATTGCACAGAACACATACAATTGACAAGTTCATAGTGTTGTTTAAATATTAAACAGTCTAGACAGGCTTTTGAGTCTTATGCCGCTATGAAAAGGCTCAGACCTGAAATACCCATCTCTGAAATTGGGCTGCGGGATCATTTGCACAGTAGGACAGACAGTAAGACTTGTATACATTGCCATGCAACAGAATAGACCCCAAACCGCCAGCCCTAAGTGGAAAGTTTATTTCTAAGCACAATATATGGAAAAAACAAACCAACAAACCCCACAGATATAGAAAACGTTGTAGCAAATCCCTGGTCAAGTAGGACTTCTTGTCTGTCACTACCCTGCACCTCACAGCCGCTTAAAATGTCATGCAATGGAGGAGAGGGCACTCGGACGACACCCTCCGCTTCAGATCAAGGAGGATCTCCAAGCAGGAGAGGGATGATGGGACTCCCGCTGAGTGATTCGGACTGTAACCAGCAAAAGGGCAGCGCTGCTCACCCCCACCACACACTTTGTGACTACCAGTGGTAGACTTAGCACTTCAACAGGCTTTACCAACGTGGATTCTCACAACACCCCTGTGAGGTAGGTACGTATTGTTATTCCCCCTTTGCCTGGACGGGGGACTGAGCCAAACAGCCCAAGGCTACAGAGTCAGTGGCAGAGCTGGAGTGAGAGTATGCAGAGTCCTGTGTGCTCAGTGTACTAGATCACACCACTCTTTCATGGCAGCTTGTGCTTCTGACCTCATGAACCATTAGCCAAATTAAAGGAATTTGACTTCTCCATATTAAATGAGCGGATGGCAGGGAGGGAAACAACATCATGTCTGACACCTGTCCCTTCATCTGTGTATGCCTCCCCCTTCCAAAACCCACCATAATTACTCATTTCTTGGAAGGAGGACAGCTTCCAGGACAGGCATTGGGGTGAGAGGCTGCTGTGATTGCTTGCTTTGGCCAGGTTTCTCTCTACTGTGGATCAGAAGTGGTTCTTCCAGAGACTGTTCATTGCAACACCTTCATTGTGGGAATAGCTGCTTTTAGAGATGACTGGAATTGCCCCTTCCCTCTTCCTCTGCTCACCAACATCCTTTCCCTGTCCTCTGCCAAAAGCACTCTTTGGTAGATAATAGGATTGGTCAGATAAAGGTACAGTGGCCTCAGAAACCATGCTGTTTCACATGGGTCCTCAGTAAGTCAGCTTTTTTGGCTTGTGTTTCGCCTTCCACATTCTCTGCCAAAGAAGTACCTGTTCTGTTGCATTCTGATATTCAAAGGGACACTGTCAAGTAATCGAGGTGAAAAATATGACCTGCCTTAAGATGCTAACTTCCCTCTTGAATGTTTCAGAATGGCTAGTATGTTCAAACCTGGAAGGTGAAGTTTGACACCTTCTCTGGTCCAGAAACACCTGAGCCATGAGAATCTAGCTGCCAAAAGGAGCTGGTGGCCCATGTTCACCCTGGCTCCAATAGATGCTGTGAGAGATTCTGAGAAGATGATGGAGGGCAGTTGGACACAGCCATTGCGCAATGCTGCTCAGCACTGCTGCTAAATGGATGCAGTTTGGCTGAAGTCCTTATCTTAAATTTGGGCAGAGCTGGGTTCAGGCTTGATCACTATGGGTTGATTATTTTGGGATTGCTGAGCTGTTGCTCCTCAATTAGCCAATCTCCATATTTTTAGGTTTCCTGCTCTTATGCTTCCTTTTTAGAAGTTGCACAAGCAAAACAGCTCAACCCCGTAGAGCCGAGACATACCCTCCACAGAGCAAGGACAGACAGCAGGAAATCAGTAATGCAGATTTCCTCCTGTTGCAGAAGAAAGGGGAGGATGAGGACAGGTGAAAGGAATGGGGTGAGCAGAGAGAACGATACATGCCCAAATGGAAAAGGACAAAAACAGTAGGGAAAGAAATTTTATTTTCAAGCTTGTAAGAGAATATTACAAACAATGGAGAGTAAAAAAAGCCCAAACCCTAAAAACTATTTAAAAAGTACTTGACAGTGTCCCTTTAATATCCACAAATGATTCGGCCGTTGTGCATTGAAAGAGAATGTTCCTGAAGAGCAACCAGTACCTTCAAGGATATATCCCAGAGAAGGAGACTATTTGAAGTGTTACATATTCGATCAGCAACTGTGCTCCTTCTTCAGACTAACTCTCTTGAACAACTGAATGGAATAGACTCTATAATCAACTAACAGACCGGATGCGAAAGGCTCAGCCTACAAGACTGAGTGAGACTGTTTCAAATCGAGCAGCAGGGATACAGACACCGAAACAAAAAAAGGATGTATATGTCTAATGCATGACTGTCTGAATCAACAAGGAAGCAGAAACCCACTAAGGTGGGTCAGCTTCTTGTGATCGGAGTAAAATGGAAGGAAATTAACCTGGAATGTTTGCATGGAAAATGATGTATGTGAGCAGCAAGATTTGGATGCCGGATTTGGGGTTATGAAGGCATAAATCACACCAGTACTTGTGCTTGAAACACCTGTGGAGCATTTGTATAAAATTTGCCAAAAATGCCTACATGTCAAATAAGGATCATGGAGCATCCTCCCCCCTCCCAGTTCCACCCTCACAAACCCCTTGTCAGGAACCTTAGGAAAAAAAATCAGGATTTTTGGTGAAATTTGGGTATGCCTGGGTTTTGTTAGATTTTCTTGGTGGGATGATTCAATCTCTCTTTCTGCGAATCAGTACTGGAAATTCCCCAGCCATTTCACTTCAGATATCCTATGGTAAATTGAACAAGGCTCCAGAGAGATTCATGAAACAAAACAATTCATAGCCCTGGTTAATCACAGTCTGGAAAACAAAAATACTCCAAAATATTTCATTCCCTTCCTTGTTTTTATAAATCTCACACTCTGTGTGTTTGTGTGCGCGTGCATGTGTGTAAGGGGGGTGCGTACAGAGCGTTACCTATTCCAGGTAACAAGATTTGTAAGACATGCTAAACCATCTGTTCCTCTGCTTCCCCAGAACTCTGCCTACTCAGTTTGTAGTCTGTATTGCACTTGTTTTGTTGTTTGCTTTTTTTTTTGTGATTTGCTTTGTTGACTTTTTTTTTCTATTTTTTTCCTTTTCTTTTTTTTTTTTTTTTTTTTTAACAGGCTGGAAAACATTAACCTCTTTAGCATGAGTGTGCAGCTCTCCCTCCACCTGCTTTTTTCCTCAGCTGGCCAAGTGCCGCCTCTTATATCTTGTGCAGTTTCCAACAAAGAAAAGGAGAGGAGAAGAAAAAACAAACAAACAAACAAAAAAGGAATTTAAAAAAAAAAAACAGGAGAAAAGGAAAGAGAAAGAAAAAGGCACACCATGCTCCTCTGCTGTATGAGTTCTTTGTCTCCTCCGCTTTGTTAAGGCCTCCTGAATTCCTCGGCTCAGACCGTCGTGACCCTCATGACGAGCTCTCTGTTACTGCTAGACTGACTCCTCTGTTCGTGAGGCCTCAGGTGGCTGAGTATATGCAGGATGGTGTAAGCACAGTGGTGGTCAGAGAGGGTGCCTGTGGCATGGCCGGCAGCCCGTGCCCCGCTGTCGGCTGGAGCGGAGTTAGTGGCTGTACCACCAGTGGAGGACGAGTGGGTGGTTTGGGAGGAGGGGCGCTGATTTGTCCTGGTCCCTGTTTTTTGTTCCTCCATGTCCTTTGTTTTGTCATAGTTCAGCACTTTCCACTGCTGATTGACCGCCTGCCACCGCTTAAAAATCCGGTAAACCGAGGGCCCTTCATGTATTATTAGACCTGGAGGGAAGGGGGAAAGAAATAAACATAAAACAGAAACAAAACTTTAGAAAGAACCATAAACCTACCCCAGCACCCTGCCCCCAGCTAGCTGGTTAGCTCAGCTCTTCCCCAGCCAGTGTTTATTCAACGATAAATCACATTTTAATTACCAACTGGCACAGCACCGATGCTCCTGCTCTGCTGGATCCTTTTTCCCCTGAATTAAAAGGATTCCAGCTTTATCCCAGCAATCAATAAAGGGATCGTAAATGCAGCAGAGTTATGCCCTTACAGCAAAACAGTATCTGTTTACCAATAAACGCCTGAGGTTTATCTGTCACTGGACTAGTTTCGCATGCTGCATAGGCATGATTCAGCCAGCAAATGGCATGTGTTTGGAGGGGGTGTACCTGGGTCTGACGTGCTGGTGACGTCTGCTGCACCAGCGTCATGTGTGTGCTCAGCTCAAGTCTTTCCCCACACACACAGCAGCAGAGCAGACACGCACACGGAGGCCAGAGGCCGCAACAGAGCAAAACAAAAGGTCTGTCAATACCTGTAAATGGTTTGTCATCCTAGGCAAAGTTTGCATACGATGAAGTATCTGCAGAGCAGGTCCCTCACTGTACATCACTGCTCCCTTCCAAGGGGGCAAAAAACATACTTGAAAGGAAGGGCAGATGAACTTACGCTGTGAGTGCTCCGAGTATGCATGTAATGTGTGTGACCCATCTGCATATACCAGAGCTGATGTCCAGGGGATGGTACTAAGCTATGGAATACCTGACTTCTAATGTTCTCTACAGTTGAACAAGGCAACAAACAGTTCAGGCACTTCCACCACCAGTTAGCTCACCTGCCAGCAGTCTCTGTCATCCTCCCTACCCTTGCAAGAAGATAGAAGGATTAAATAATGTTAGAAGTTGTTCAGATGATGACAGTACTTGAGCATTAAGATCTTATTATTCAAGCTGCTGGGCTCTGGATAGACCCTTTGAAAGCACTAGGTCCAGCAGTAACTGCAACACTGCATTGCTCTTCTCCCGTGAGGCTGGAGGAAGTTGCAACATCTCATGTAGACTGATTTAGCTGACACACTGTACTGTAACTGACAAGCTTTGCTACAGAGTGGGATCTATGCAGAATGGGGGGAAGTGGGGGGTGTGTGTCTGAATCTCCTTGTTTTGCAGCAACCTGCATGTTGGGAAAGTGCTTTTGTGTCTCATGTAACTGAAGCCAGACCAGCAAGATAGGACTGGGTAAATTAGCGCATAGATAGCTTCATTGTTCTTAATAACAATGGCTTCACCATTCTTGCTCAGGATCAAGTTTATCAGAAATGTTTCTAGGAAGAACAGCTCTCTTCCCTGCCCTGTTGCAAGCATATAAATACAACAGCAAAGAACAAAAGACCCACAAGAAATAAGAAGCAAAATCATGCCTGAATGAGGAGGTTGTCTTAACCAGCAATGTGTGGAGAGATGATGGTCACCACAGAATAAAGTGGCTTATGGCTATCCCTGATGAATCAAATGCTACAGCTTTACTCTCCACCCACCTTTTCCAGACTGTTCTAGTTTCTGATAACAAATAATTACTGGAGTAAACCTGTACTATATCAAAAATCAAAGTATCTGAAGGTCATCTTACCCTTACAACTAATCTCGCCATTACTACTGACGGGGTGCAGACCCCTGGTTTCTTAGAGTTTGCATCTGATTTTCCAGAGTTTAAACCCTACTTTAAGTACAGATTGAGTTTCTAGCCTCTCTGGTTTTAGGCATAACTAGAAGCCCTGCTGACTTGATCACAGATTAGCTTCAGGGGGACACTCAAAGTTGTTGTATTGGAGTGCTGAGCCTGCTTGCTGGCTGTAGAAGTAATTACATTGGATAGTTGAAGTATGCAGATCTGGGTATTCTGGGACAGGGAATGGCACTGGGCACTACAGTGTGAGAGAAATCTTCCCTCTAGTTCCCACAGACCACTGAAATTACACAGCTGTAATCCTGTAGTTATGCTGGCATTTCATAACAAAACACCATGATGTATTAATAGAAAAACATGGGGTTTCCTCCCTGCTTTGAGACATGGTTGAGAATTCTGATGTCCTCTGATCAAAGCATCAATCATAAAAAGCAGGACTTAGGGAAAGCCTGCAGATCCAGCCAAGGAGACAGAGCTTTGAAGCAGGCCTGAAGTGGATCAGCCCATGACAAGAGACATTAGACATATATTTAAATGAGCTGTCTGATCTGTAATGAATGAAATTCCTCTCTGATCAATGACAGAGCCAATGTTTCTCTGAGACCACTTTAAGCCTCGGATAAAAGAGCCGAAATCGAACGTTTTCTCCTTGGCTGTAGAACATTCTCCATGGAATCAAATCCATTCTCCGAAGTATTAAACACTGAGCCAGAACTGTAAATCTATTCTTAATTACCTTATCACAAATATTTAATGCACAGCCTGATTCAAGAGGGCTGTTTATAAAATTCTTGTTTGTTTGCCTTCTAATTATAAATGTTTATGATCTTACGCAATTAACTGTGTGATGCTGATGGATGGGCTGCTGAGTCAACTGAGCACCTGTTTTCTTAGATTATTTTGGTTTCCCAATATTTATAAAAGTACAAGGTAACTTGTTTTCATCTGTATTTACTGGGCTGTAAATTACTTATCGATTTCCCAGTGTCAAGCTCAGGAAGCTGTAAAATTAAAAAGTAACCAAGTGGAGGGGTAGGCAGGGAGGCGGAAGTAACAGTGATTCATTTGCAAGAGTAAATGCCAAGAGTAAGCAAGAGCCCATCAGTTTATATCAAGCTGCAGGATGCTTAATGCTCCCATCGAAACAAATTTTGTCTGCCTGAGATAAATTAGGATTGGAATTCCTATGTTCAGCTCTTTCCGCCCCTTTATAGAAACACTCCTCCCTCTAGCATCATTCTTATTTACAGAGGTGAAACTTTCCAATTAAAGGGCAGACTTAAGTGGGAAATCCTTCAGGAAGAACTGTATTTAACTAGGATTGTCCAGCTAGAAGCAATTATTCCATAAGCAAAATCCTGTGTATGTGGGGAAGACAGTAGGTTGGTGTGAGCTACATGTTGTGCACTTATCTCTCTTCAGTGCAGAAATGTCTGTATGAGAACTTCAGATGGATTCTGGTAGTGGCCTGATCTTTTTCCACTCCTCCTGAGTTTATCTTGCCCTCCCTGCTTCATAAAATCTCTTCTCAATGGATCCTCCATGAAAACTATCCTCTTCAGAAGGAAAATCTCTTGTTTTATGCAAAACATGCTGGTCCAGAAATCTGTTGTTTGTGGTGCTGGCAAAAGGAAACTCCTACGGAGACATGCTGTTCTCATTACCATTTTCTCATGAAGGGACCTGGCTGGACCAGCATCAGAAATTCCTTGAGCTGAAAATTTGTTGAATGCTGGAAGAAATATTCAGGGGAGCTATATCATACACTTGTCTTGTTCTTATTTCACTCTTATTTCACTTTTCAGGCTGTTCATGGCCAATGATGGAAGCAGGGCAGCTGGCTAGATGGAGACTTGGCCATTATATTCTTAGATATTTCTACTTGCAATGGCTTGTGCCATGAAAAGATCTCCCAGATGGCTCTGGAGCTGGAGGCAGCCCATATGATGTGGTGGGATCATTAACCTGACAGCAAAGTCAAAAAAAAAGTAATTCTAATGCCTCTGCCTGCATTGCTATGTTGGTGCAGCTGTGCTGTTCCCAGGACAAGACATAGTAACTCTGAGCTAATATGGCAGGGCTAACCCAGTGCAGTGCTCTGAATTAACATATTCTGAATTGGAAACAGTATGTACAGGAAACCATATTGATCTCTTTTCACTGTGTTCATTCTCTCTCTATGTTAGCCTTTTTTGCTCTTTCTCCTGTGGCTTTTTTTTGTTGTTGGGTCCATGCAGAGGGACAGATCATGGTCAGCCCTGTGGAACTGTAGAGTCCAGGCAGGCAGGACTAGTGATGGTACCGGGTGCAGCAATTACTTCCCAGAGCTGAGAAGTTGCTTTGTGCTTCACAGCACAGGCAAACAGAACAATGTGAACAAACAGACCTTGGCAATAGGTCATACCAAACCTGTACACATTGCTTACACTGGTATCTTACTCTTCCTTTCATTTACTATACATGGGAGAGTACCCAGAACCTCACCACAGCTCTAACGCAAAACTGGCAGTAAGTGACCCAGCTCCAAAGTGCACAGATCCTGGTGCCAGATTTGATTTAAAGAAACAGGTAAGCAACATCAATACAGGTTAGCTAGGCAAGGGTTGTGTCAGTGCAGTTCAATGCCAAATCAGTGCATGTTCACAGCACCTGGGAGAACAAGCTGACAACTGTTGACTCTGCAGAAAGACATCTTTTCCACTTACCATCACTCTCCCACCCCTTTTCATCCCAGAGCAAGAATAACTGGCCCGTTTCTTTTCCAGATGATCAAGATGCAGTCTGCAGCAGAGCTAGCAGTGGTGAAAGCAGTTTAATATCTATGTCCTACTGACTGCCACAGCTAACCCTGACCTGGGCTCTCCAAATACCAGAGTTAAAAAGGGAAGCATGACTAAGGGTGGATATCATAGCACAGAGGTAAGCCTCATGTCACTGCAAGATTTCTCTAAGCCTTGAAATACCTGCCCCCACCACAACATGATCCACATGGACAGTCTCTCTGCAAGGAAATGTTCTTGGTGCTGAGGGTGGACACATATGGGCTGTGTGCAGGTGTCCCTTTGTTTCTTGGGATTAGTCAGGACAGAGGTGCATTGCCATCAGGAGGCCTATGGCAAGACTGGTCAAGAGAGAGGTCCTCAGCCCAATAGCTAGAAGGGCTGCTGGAAGAACATGGGCAAAACCCAGATGTAATAAGGGCAATTCTGTTTGTGCCTCTGGATGGATGAGGGGGAGTCAGTTGGTGTGCCACCATCCTGAGATTAACCTAAGCAGTTGTGAGCCTCCAATTTAAGGCAACTTTGGAGCAG